AGCTAAGCTTATTAGTGGTTTCTTTTGTTTGGATTTGCTGCAGTTTATTACTGCTCAGTTACCACCTGCTGAATAATCTTATTGGTTTCAGACCTCATTTTGTCATGTCTTTTTGGTCACTTTCTTTTTGTTTTGATTGTTCTAAACTTGTTTTTGACTCTTCTTATATCTGAAAGGTTGGGTGGATCTATGATCAGAAATTGATTATAAATGATACATTCTTCTCACTCGAGTATCACATTCTCACTTTAAGCCTGAAACCTTACTCACTAATCAAGGATTTTTGCTGCTTTATAGTCATTAGTTTATGTATTGTCTCTTTTGAATGTAAGCTTTGTTCTTTTGTCTGTGTTTCCAGATATTTTGAATTCACCTTTCTTTGTTAAAGTGACCTGTGACCATAAGCTTGTTCCACTTGATGTTTATGACATCTTTTAATGTTTTCTCTGCAGGAGCTCGTTTGAAAGAATGCAAAATAGACCATCTCTCTCTATTTGCTGCCTTACAGATTGTTTCTCTTTAAACGTGATTCTAGAGTACAATACTAGATACAGTGAGGTCCTTTGTTTTATTGGATCCTGAGTTATCTTGTCTATATGGGAAGGTCTTTTCAGTGTCTATACAGTAGAATTCTTTAGAAGTTTGAACGGTTAAATTCATCGACGTGAACTTTTTTTTGTGGAGAAACAGAAATTTTCTTTTTCGGACTTGATGGGTAAAGAGAATCAGTTGGAGACTACAAATTGTGGAGTCAATGATCACGATTGTCCACCCGTCAAGAACGAGGAAGTAGCAGTTGAGGCACGTTACAGTACAGACAGTGACTCGGGTTTGCCGACTTGTCGTGTATGCCATTCTGCAGAATCTGACAGACGGGGAGACGCTGCGTTAGGGTTTTTGGGTATTACTCCTCCGGTTCCAGAAGCTCGTAAAAGCAATGCAGACGAAACTGTTGACGATGTCAGTAAAGCAACAGAGGCTGAGCTGAAGAATTCTGTCGTTAAAAGCAATGGAGTGGAATCTGGCTTCGTCGAAATAACAAGTCCTGATGGGGAAGTTTTCATTTGCACAAATGATATCGAGATGGGAATCCAGCAGCATCAGGATGCGTTGCTTGAGCTTGGATGTTCTTGCAAAAATGAGCTTGCTTTGGTACACTACGCCTGCGCGCTCAAATGGTTTCTCAACCATGGATCCACAGTGTGCGAAATCTGTGGATTTTCTGCGGAAAACGTAAAAACTGCTGATTTCAACAAAGTGGTCATTGCCTTGAGAGATTACACGGCATTAAGAGAAAGAACAGCTGATGGAGGAGATCCAAACTCTGTATTACCGGTGAATACAGATTCAACCATAGATTCAGATGAAGTTGCTGCTATTCGAAGGCAACGACTTAGTGAGATATCTTCATGGTTTGGTCCCCATTCTCTGAACAACAACGGTAGCTCTGTTGCAGCTTCTCAGGCTATGTCTGAACAACCTTTAGGTGTTGTGAACTTTGATATAATGCCTATGGAAAGCCGTGCAACTAAATGGGCTGTGGAAGGTACCGGGATTCTACTTGCTACCGGTTTACTCACCGTTACTCTGGTCTGGCTCATTGCTCCTCGTGTTGGAAAGGTATGTCATCGATCTAACTCTAACCATGTATCTAAACCTCTCTGACATGTATGGTAGTTAACGGTAATTAATAATCCGCGCAGAAAACTGCTAGGAGCGGACTTCACATCCTTCTTGGTGGTCTCTGTGCTTTGACAATAGTCATCTTCTTCAGATTCGTAAGTAATCAATCTCTTGAGTAATCTCTCATTCTAACAGATTTAAAGTCTCTACCTTTACAGTTTTACTAATCCAAACACACATAAAACTTGAAAACAGGTCGTGCTCACTAGAATCAGGTATGGTCCTGCACGCTATTGGGCAATCTTATTCATCTTCTGGTTTCTCGTGTTTGGTATTTGGGCTTCTCGTTCCAATGCGTCTCACAGTAACCCTTGAATTGTATCATCTTC